TACAATTCTTATCACAATCCATACATATATCCATTGTGTCAAGCACATTTGTATATTTGTTGACATCATCATTCTCTGTCCTATAGTATTCTATGAGTTGGGCTTAGCTTAACAGCCATGGGTTTTTAAGTTTTTTTTCTAAACAGTATTATTTAAAACACTCACCTCTGCCACCCAAAAGAGTCCCAACCCCACGGCCGATTAGCCTATTGCAACCCACAGAGACCCTGTACAGGGCTTCTAAAAATGCACAGCTTTATGAGAGCAGGCGGATCCCTCTTTCTCTTACAGACAAACCCCTAACCCATAGTGCCAGCAGGGCTCCTTATTTATTAAAACTTCCTGGCTGTGTCAGTGGGTCCCTTACATCTACATTTTCAAGTCCAGATGTGCTCAATAGCCTTTGTGCTTGTTTGTTTGGGAGGGGTAGAGATAAGGCGTCTTTCTTGATGTTATTATTGACGTTTCCAAGCACAGCACTCTCTCTCTTAATTTGGACTTGTGTAATTGTTGACTTATCATCAGATTAGTAAAACAGATTTGAGGAGCCCTGGTGGTGCAAGAAGTAAGTTAATCAAAAGATTAGTGGTTTAAAACCCCATGGCTGGTGTGCAGGGGAAAAATGTGGCAATCTGCTTCAATGAAGATGATAGCCAAGCTAATCCTATGGGGCGGTTTGCTCTGTCACATGGGGACACTATGCATCAGAATGGACTTAATGGCACAGAGCAATAGCAACAAATTAGTATTCAACAGGAAAAGTACAACTAATTGTGTCTCCATCTTGGTGCATCACAACATGGGCCATAAACTATCAGTTCGCCCATCCCCTATGTCCTTAAGTTTCACACTTTAGTTGAGGCAGGGTCCACATATTACTGCACTGCAAATGCAACTCTTACCCTTTGTAATTAGTGAGGAATTGCTTGCATCAATTATTATGATGACAGCTATATTTGGTTAATTTAAGAAAATGTATTCCTGTGATTTATATATATATATAAAGAGTTCAAGATGTACTTGGTAATATAGAAACCTTTAAGAGTTGTATTTTCAAATCAACTACCAGTTAGGCTTCTATTCTCTCTATCTTTAATTGTATCATATTATAAAATGGAATATTTATGTAAGCTAGAATTCCACTCAAGTAAGGTTTAGTGTTACAAGGAGCTAGCAATTCTATAGTCTAACCCCACTACTGTCAGGTTGTTCTACTGTGCTGTTATGAAGCTGGAAGTCATGACAAGGAGGTTCAGGAAATTTAGGGTGGATATGGGGAAGAAAGGATACGATTGCTGATGTCACATGGATCTTGGCTGAAAGCAGAGAATACTAGAGAGATGTTTACTTGTGTTTTATTGACTATGCAAAGGCTTTTGACTGTGTGGATCATAGCAAACTATGGATAACCTTGAAAAGAATTGGATTTCCACTTCACATTGTCCTCATGCAGAACCTGTACATTGATCAGGAGGCAGTTGTTCAAAGAGGACAAGAGAATATTTTTTTTTTAGTCAGCAAGTTTTTTTTTATCATTTTATTAGGGGCTCATACAACTCTTATCACAATCCATACATACATCAATTGTGTAAAGCACAATCGTACATTCATTGCCCTCATCATTCTCAAAATATTTGCTCTCCACCTAAGCCCCTGGTATCAGCCCCTCATGAACCCTTGATAATTTACAAATTATTATTTTGTCATATCCTGCCCTGTCCGACGTCTCACTTCACCCACTTTTCTGTTTTGTCCATCCCCTAGGGAGGAGGTTATATGTAGGTCCTTGTAATCGGTTCCCCTTTTCCAACCCACCCTCCCAGTATCACCACTCACACCACTGGTCCTGAAGGGATCATCCACCCTGAATTCCCTGTGGTTCCAGTTCCTATCTGTACCAGTTTACATACTCTGGTCTAGCCAGATTTGTAAGGTAGAATTGTGTGGGAAACAGAAAGATTTCTCCCAAGTTGTCTCCCACAAATATGTTAGATTTAGGACACTGCTTACAGCTAATGATAAAAATTATTTCCCCCGAAGCAATCGCTGTCAGATTGGTGTCTCCCCCCACCACAGGAGTGGGCCTGCTCCCTGCTGTTGGGGACAACTCAAGTTGTCTAAAGATTTTGTCTTGCTTGGATTTACAATCAATGGTCATGAAAGTAGTAGTCAAAAGATCAAACGTGGGACTATACTGGATAACTCTGCTGCACAAACCTCTTTAAAGCGTTGAAAAGGAAGGAGGCTACTTTGAGGACTAAGGTGCACCTGATACAAGCCATGGTATTTTCAATTGCCTCATGATTGTTAAAGTTGGATACTGAATAAGAAAGATCAAAGAAGAATCCATGTGTTTGAATTGTGATTCTGATCAAGAATATTGAAAAGTACTATGGCATGCCAAAAGAACAAACAAATCTGTCTGTCAAGAAGTACAGTCAGAATTCTCAGAGGCAAAGACGCAAGATTTTGCCTAAGTTATTTGTCCATGTTGTGTGGAAAGACGGTCCCTGGAGAAGAGCATCATGCTTGGTAAAGTGGAGGGGCAGTAAAAAAGAGCAAGACTTTTGCCAGGATGGACTGGCACAGTGGCTGCACCAATACACTCAAACATAGAACAATTGTGAGGATGGCCAGCGACCGGGAAGTGTTTCATTCTGTCGTACATGGGAGTCGCTATGCATTGGAGCCTACTTCCATGTAAGCCCAGTAAGAAAATCTACATATGTTATGACTATCATAGACAAAAAGATAAATATACATACATATACATATATATATAAAATCTCAAATATTTGACCAAATACAACTAAACTGAAAGCTAATGCAAAAGTTGAAAGAATCAGAACACTTTTAAATATTTTTTATAAGATAAAGCACCTAGTTATTCTTAAACTATTGATGAGTTGATTTCCTTAAAAACAAAATTATTTGGGAACCGATTACAAGGATCTACATATAACCTCGTCGCTGGGGGACAGACAACAGAAAAGTGGGTGAAGGGAGA